GAGCAGTGAGAAGGAAAAACGCTTGGTGTGTCAATTCATTACATTGTCAGGATTTTTCGTTGTTGTGAAAACAAATCGCCCCCTCTTATTTTTTATCAGCCCCCTCAGTCATTTCGTCCTGGAGCCGGGCCTGCTGCGGAGTGACTTGAGGTTACTTCACACACAGAACAACTCAGTTTTGTCTGCCCACATACATATTCCATAGTGGTTGAATACACAGTATTAGGAAACACTTTATACTTACTGGACATGTTATACTCATTACATACTGTATATAAAATATGACCAAGAATGTGAGACAACTTTATAGAAATTCATATCACATCTGTTACTGATGCCATTTGTCATACTTTGTTAAACTAATAATAATAAAGTTCCATAACTTCAGTTGGGAACAAAGACCACACCTTACCACCAAGGCAATTTCCCATCCAATAGGTGTGCTATATAGGTGTGTATAACCCTTTCTCCTCTCTGTTACTCCCTCTTTCAGCACAAGAACCACAGAGGGATTCAATGGAGCCTGAATACCTGCACTGAGACCATCACCCTGCACCCTGAGTCTCAACTCTCAGTGTTTTTCAAGCCTTTCCCTGTTTTTTTGTATTAAACAAAACATTAAGCTTTCCCAATGGTGTGGTTTTCGTTTTGTGAAAAAGTGCAAATGCAGTGTTTGTATATAATTACCTCACATATTTTTTTGCTGTTGGTCGTGAAATTGCTCCTGCTGACTTGAGCCAGCCATTTTTTCCTCTGCTCTGTGTCAGTGGGGAAGCCGTACATTCGTACTCCTTTCTCGGAGCGATTTGAGCATCCCCAGGCAGCACAGCAAACCATGGTGGCGACTAGGAGGCAGCACAGCAAACCAGGACAACATGGAGGAAAAGGCACAGACAAACTGCATGATATGCTATTCAATGTTTATTGAATTCCATGTATTTGCAATGGATGTTCCTAAAACAACACATTTAACATCATCATCATCATGCTGCTGTTGCTGCTGCTGCTGCTGCTGCTGCTGCTGCTGCTGCTGCTGCTGCTGCTGCTGCTGCTGCTGCTGCTGCTGCTGCTGCTGCTGCTGCTGCTGCTGCTGCTGCTGCTGCTGCTGCTGCTGCTGCTGCTGCTGCTGCTGCTGCTGCTGCTGCTGCTGCTGCTGCTGCTGCTGCTGCTGCTGCTGCTGCTGCTGCTGCTGCTAGTCCTTTGATAGTCACCTGTCGGTAGGGATGGGTATCGTTTGAAATTTATCGATTCCGATTTCGATTCCGGTTCTGCTTATCGATTCCGGTTCTTATCGATTCCCCGTTTCGATTCAAAAATTGTAAAATAAAGAGGTCAAACGTTTAGATAACAAAAATATATTTATTCTTAAAAGCTTTAACTGAAATTGTTACTAAAAAATATACATGCAATACAAATGTATTGCACAATAGCTGTGCTTTATTTTAACTGAGCTATGCCTGTGGCAAGCTATTAACAGGCATTACACTTTGCCTTTTATTTTTATTTTTTAGTGTAGTGGAGCCTCACTTCAGAGTGTTTACCGCGACCTATCTTTGGTGTTATGAAGTGACTGAGCTCGTGAAATGTCTACGGGAGGGCGGGGGAGGCATCGCTGCGGGGCAACTGTGGACCTCTGTCGCCTGTCAGCGCAATTTATATGATGCCGTTTAAAAAAATGAAGGGCGGTTGCCGGCCGTCAGCGTACCGAGCCGGCCGTCAACGGCCCGCTGACGACCGGCCGTTCTGTGATTCTCCAGGTCCGCCCTGTATTCCACCGGGTCACCGCAACACCGCGGAGCAGACGGACCCGCTGGAATACAGGGTCTACCGCGTTTAGGAACCGTTAAGCAGAACCGAAATTGTGTATTTTGTATGGGTACCCGGTACCCGGCATTTTCTTATCGGTTCTCATCTGGAACCGAGTTTCGGTTCCCAACCCTACCTGTCGGTCTCCTGTCCTTTCTGAAAGCCATAAAGATGACATTAGTCATTTAGATAACTTGTGTCCTCAATTACCATGGGATTACTGAAACTACTATGAATTTAAGAAAATGGTAGACATTAATCTAATCTGAATTTTAAAGCATTACTTTAGATCCCCTCCCTCTAAATATATCAATAAACATTAGAAAGTGATGCTCCTGACTACCATACAAGTTTAAGAAGATAATATTGGTTTTAAAGAATTCAAAGCTATAAACAGCAACAGGCTCTTTAACCAAGGCACTGTTAGCCTAACATGTAAACTAGTTGTTCACACTAATCCTAATATTATTACTTAATATTAGCAAATTCTATTTTATTTTTTAAAACATATTGATGTAAATACAAACACATATCGATTTGTTGTATAAATATTGCAAATCAAAACCTTTATTCACTAATAATTACCAAAAATCGTAGTTCTATCTCCTGTTATCAATGCATTCACATTGCCCGCCATGAACTTCCGGGGAACGATCCTCGTCTACATGAACCACGTGACGATAACCGTTTTTGGACTTCCGTTGTCGTAACTCTTCTATCTATATGGCGCTGGGGCGGGCCATTCTGCACATGCGTTAAATGCGTTAAATATTTTAACGCAATTAATTCAAAAAATTCGTTAACACCGTTAACGCGATAATTTTGACAGCATTAATCTATATACATAATATATACATAACTATTATGTCACTATATCTTTGTTGTTTATCTGAAGGACTGAGAAACAAAGAGGTGCAGATGGAAGGCTAAGGATGTCCAATGAGGCACAGGAAGCAGCAGTTACAAACTTGGTGTTGGCAAACAATGCCATCACACTTAGAGAGATCCAAAGCATTCTAACTATGTGCTGAGATGCATGTTGCACAATGTTATTTTTGAATAAAATGTGATTTTTTTCAACAACTCATTTGTATTTCTTCATTTACTGTATTTCTGTAAACTCAAGCAATCTTTCTCTGCAGAAACCTCTATGTACAGAGCACAGCCCATAACAGATTAAAGTGCTTTAGATTACGCTCAGCAGTGTGTAGTTGGGTGGTCAATCAATCTAGTGTCATGAATGAAATGTGTTATATTTGGTGCTAAAGTTTGCATTGGGTAAGTGTTTATGTAGTTTTGAGTGCAGTTCTTCACTTAGCAGGAGAAATTAGGTGTTTTGCACTTTGGGTGTGTGGTTTTGTGAATTGTGTTTAGTGTTCTGAGAAACTGAGCAATTTGAAAAAAAATGGTGTTAGCAATCGAGAAAAACTGTAATTCAACTATTTGTGTGAGCAAGCAGGTGTATAATGACAACCAGTTGTGATATAAAGAGTTGGTATAAAATATCATTAAAGATTTTTAAATGCAGCTACTGTCAGTGAATGAAATATGAGTCTGTATGACAGGAAATCTACACATACAGGTACTTTACATATGTCTGTGTAAATCCACTCCAACAGTGGTCTGCAACGGACCCACAAGACTGCTGAAGCAAGCTACACCAACAGTAGTGGAAGCCTAAATGAATGCTAATGCCAACTTCAAAATGACAAATAAGGAATCCCGTACAGAAGAAACAACACACAAGTAAATTAAGTGTTTTAGTTCAATATGCAACTCCCCCCTGCTTCAAATCAAATCAAGTTTTATTTATATAGCACATTTTTAAACGATTTTTGGTCGAGCCAAAGTGCTGTAGCTGTTCATATAATAAAAAAGACCCTACAGTAAAGACACTTTACAGCAAATACAACAGCACAGTTTGTGCATATCAGTATGAGAAAACGACACCCTCTGTCCTTAGACCCTCTCACATCGTACAAGGAAACACTTCCGGAGAAAACCCACAGTTTAAAGGGAAAAATGGGAGAAACCTCAGGGAGAGCAACAGAGGAGGGATCCCTCTCCCAGGACGGACAGACGTGCAATAGATGCCGTGTGTAAATCGAAGAGATAATACATTGTACAGCGTAGGTAGACCAAATGTTTGGAAATGCATGTAAGAAGAAGAAGGTGAAGGTGCTTCCTGTCGTTGTACGCAGAATATATCATGGAGGAATCAAACTACTTTGTAAAAATAAAAGGTGAATTTAACAATGTACATGGGATGCAAACAAATCAAATCCCTCAGTTGAGTTTATTTCAAAAAGTACCAACTTGAGCACTGGTCTAAAAAAATGTGCCTTTTGTTTGACTTGCCAGTTTGTAACTTGTTTTTGAACAGTATACTTTACTTGCACCCTTTTAGACAATGTGTACAGCTTAAAGACTGGTCTAAACAAGGGGCCTATCTTTTTACATACCAGGGCAGAATGAAAGAGGTTCAACTACAGCAAAGAAAACAATTGTAAAATAAAAATAATCATGCATTTCCTTGATATTGTGCAAAACTGTTTGAAATTGAAAATGGCAAATGCAAAATGTGCAGCCCAACAGTGGTTTATAAGATCTCAGAGAATAGATACTGATTCAGTTTACGTGCATTTTCACCACAGAAGGGATCAACCTCCCTTAGCAGCACCTTTAAGCAGTGTAAAGAACACACCCCAGCATGGTATTACTTCCGCCTTTGCAAGAAGCTATACAGGTGGCTCTTTTGTTCTGTATTTTAAATCTCAGATGTGTGTTATGTCTGTATTCTAAGGTCAAAGTCATTCAAATCATCAATGGTATCATCGTTAAACATTTTCCATGTAACATCTGAATGTACAAATGTAACTAAACAGAAATCAAATGAAAAGACGGAAATAAGTGAAGCACTATACCTTCACTGAATTACAGTATACAATTAGATTAATGTGATTAATTACATGAATATGAAGTAAGAGAAAGCTCCTAAAATACTCTTCATAGCTACAGCCAGAACAGAGCACTTGCATGACACACACCCACACCACACACAATTAAAAACTGGTTCGTAGTGGAAGGTTTTTTGGGCGTTGGTACAAAGAAAGAAGTGGATTGGTGGGAGTGCCAGATTTTGTGTGTACTCCCTTATAAAAGTAGGCTTTCCCCTCAGTCTAACATCACTCTCATCTGGAACCAAGTTAGTGACACAGACGTGAACTCTCTCTACCTGGGAACCTCAACTCTAAGGTGAGTCTTGATATCAAGCAATATATAGAGTGAATATGTTTTGTATGTAAGTGTTACATGTTCACATATTGATCATGACGAGTACCAAATAGCCTGACACAACAGAAAATGACATTGTATAGTTTGTAAACTGGCTATGTAATTATATAATCTTAGACTTTAGAGTGCTTGAATTTGAACTTCTGGCTTGAAATTGTTCTTGTGTGTACTTAAGTTGAATCTAATTTGATAATATCAATAGTTTCACAATACTTGACGATATTGCCACTACACAAATCCTGACACCTTTGATTTTCTGTTCATCCTCTCAGTTTTAAAATGATAGAAAGTCCAGTGTTTCTTATATAATTACTCCAAAAATATACCTTTTTCTTCAGATACAGCCATGTCTAATCGTCTGCAAGACCTCATTAAAAGCATAGTGGCATTGTTCGTGGAGTACTCTGACGCTCAGGGCATGATCAGCAAGGCGCAGATGATGAAGATGATGGATAATGATATTCAATGCGCTGCTATGAAAGTAAGAACCTCCCTTTACATGACACAGTTACAATGAACAAGCCCCTTATAGATAACACATTCCCTTACTATCCTGCTTCTTCTTCACTACTCAGGTGTGTTTCTTGCTTTTACAGTTTTTCTCGATTGCTAACACAATTTTTTTTTAAATTTCTCAGTTTCTCAGAACACTAAACACAATTCACAAAACCACACACCCAAAGTGAAAAACACCTAATTTCTCCTGCTAAATGAAGAACTGCACTCAAAACTACATAAACACTTACCCAATGCAAACTTTAGCACCAAATATAACACACTTCATTCATAACACTAGATCGTTTGACCACCCAACTACACACTGCTGAGCGTAATCTAAAGCACTTCCATCTGTTATGGGCTGTGCTCTGTACATAGAGGGTTCTGCAGAGAAAGATTGCTTGAGTTTACAGAAATACAGTAAATGAAGAAATACAAATGAGTTGTTGAAAGAAATAACATTGTGCAACATGCATCTCAGCACATAGTTACTATGCTTCAGATCTCTCTAAGTGTGATGGCATTGTTTGCCAAAACCCAGTTTGTAACTGCTGCTTCCTGTGCCTCATTGAACATCCTTAGCCTTCCACCTCTTTGTTTCTCAGTCCTTCAGATAAACAACAAAGACAAAGTGGTCGGTCAGTGTCTGTGTTGCATAACAGTTAGTTTACCACAGTACATTGTGCAGGATTGTTGTACAGTTATAGTATGCAACGTGCCAACAATTCAATTACAGTAATGAAGTAAATACGTTTCACAGAACAGATATAAGCTCTGATATATCATGAATTATGCAGAGCTACAAACTGGTAACTAACCTGTTTTCAAGTCTAAGTGTCCGGATTACAGAGGCAACAGTAAATCGGCTTAGATTAGGCTGAACCCTCCGTCCAGCCTCTTTCATCGTCAAACCATGGTTGATAACATTTCATTTAATTAGAGAGTACTCTTCTTTGTCCACGTCCTCTCCCTCCACCTCTACCTCTCATTCTTCCTCCTCTCACTCTCACCCACCTCTTCCTCCTCCTCTCACTCTCAGCCCAGCTCTTCCTCTTGCTCTTCCTCTTCCTCTTGCTCTTCCTCTTGCTCTTGCTTCCATGTTGGCTTCCATTGTTGCTGTAAGAAAGTACTCACCTGTGGTCTTTTTATAGTGCTAACATCCAGATTGATGAGCCAACAATTATGCTATCAGGTGTTTGGTCAGGTGGAACGTGTTTCTTGATCATTGGTCCATGTGTGAGGCATTTTGAATATCAGTGTTTTAAACCTGCTCACACGTGACTTTATGTCAGATTCCTGTGTCTTACGTGGAGAAACGTGTGCAGTGGTTTGCAAAAAGTGCCATGTTGAATATGCAAATTGTGTGAAAAGCTGAAAACGTGTTTAGAGTTTTGGAGATTTGAGCCGATGTTTTGCTCTTTGAGTGTCAGTTAAAATAATTGTGCTTCATCTATAATTTTAGTGTGTTAGCAATCGATAAAAACTGTAACAGTAATATTATTTTCCACAGGAAAAGCTCCATACTACAAAATGCGACAAGAATCTCTGCGACTTCAGAGACTTTTCTTCTTGTGTGGAACAAGTGGCCGTTTGCTGCTACCAAAACAACACTGGCAAGGGCCAAGACTGGGAAGTCTGCTCAAAAAAGTGAAAATGGCATAATGTTACACTCCCTACATGAGAATGTTATGTTTACTGTCTTACTGTCAATTGGTTTTCAAAGGCCCTTCAATACTGGCAAATAAAAAATAAAAATGATTGAGTTTAAATCAACATGGGTGTCTTCATTTGTTTATGGCTCTATCACTGTATCACTTGCATACTGTTGTAGTTTATAATGTCATCAATTGACATTTAATGATTTAAATCTACCATACGTTTGAGCGGTCAACAATACATCCATCCATCCATCCATCTTCTCCCGCTTATCCGTGGTCGGGTCGCGGGGGTAGCAGTTCCAGCAGAGAGCCCCAAACTTTCTTTTCCCTGGCGACATCAACCAGCTCTGACTGGGGGATCCCAAGGCGCTCCCAGGCCAGCGAAGAGATATAATCCCTCCACCTGGTCCTAGGTCTACCCCTTGGTCTCTTCCCAGCTGGACGTGCCTGGAACACCTCCCTAGGGAGGCGCCCAGGTGGCATCCTAACTAGGTGCCCGAACCACCTCAACTGGCTCCTTTCGACGCGAAGGAGGAGCGGCTCAACTCCGAGTCCCTCCCTGATGACCGAACTTCTCACCTTATCCCTAAGGGAGACACCAGCCACCCTGCGGAGAAAACCCATCTCGGCCGCTTGTATCCGCGATCTCGTTCTTTCGGTCATGACCCATCCTTCATGACCATAGGTGAGGGTAGGAACGAAAATGGCCCGGAAGACCGAGAGCTATACATGTTTGAGTCATTTTTTCCAATTTAAGTCTTCACAACTCTCCAACTTTCTGTGTTAGTTTCCATAATTGCAAAACCATTTATCTTTTCGAATTTGCAACAATTAGTTTTAATGCACAATAATAACACAGCCGGTCTGAAATGTGTCCAACCCACAAGTATGTTATTCCGAACCGTCTGCATGATATAAAACCAACTCTTATTCGCCTTTTCATAAGCTTTTATTAAACAAAATGGAATCTTCAACAAACAGATGCACACAGGATGAATTGCTTAATGTAAATTATGGAGAAAAAAACCCACAGAAGGCATTCTGAAGTAAAACGTTAACAAAGAGGCCTACATAAGTTGGCCCTGGTTGTTGTAAAATGTCAACAATAGAATAATAAATAATGCCCAACACTTGCATATCGTGTGTTCGGCAGTGGCTCAGTCAGTAGGGGCTTGGACTGTGAGCCGTAGGGTCGCCGGTTCAACTGGTCGGTTCAAGTCCCCGACCAGACCTAAATATGGAGTGTGGACTGCTACTTGGAGAGGTCGCAGTTCACTTCCTGGGCCCTGCCGTAGTGCCCTTGAGCAAGGCACCGGACACCCCCCCCACTCCCATTGCTCCCCGGGCGCAGTACAATAGCTGCCCACTGCTCCTCGGGTTAAATGCAAAGGCCAAATGTCACTGTGTGCTGTGTACTCTGTATGTGTGACCATTAAAGAGGGTTACATCCCTCCAATTCTATCTATCTATCTAAGGATAGAAGAAGGTGAGGGATTACACTGAATAACAGTAACTATTAATAATATGTATTTATGTATTAGTCATCATATTTCTCATGTGATTAATTTCATGAAGCTGATGTCAAAAATAATATAACATGCAAACATGAGGTTATCCCTCATAACATGGAATATCACGGTGAGAAAAAATTATTGTTATGTATATCTTTCGATAACTGCGAATTTGATTTAATCCTTATCAGGCAAAATTCATTTCTATTTTGTTTATGTATAAATAATATTCAGGTTAAGATGTGATGTAATGGTGCTGGTTGAGTGTCAGGGCGAAAGGCAGCTGCTGGAAACTGTGCATTCACATTGCCCGCCATGAACTTCCGGGGAACGATCCTCGTCTACATGAACCACGTGACGATAACCGTTTTTGGACTTCCGTTGTCGTAACTCTTCTATCTATATGGCGCTGGGGCGGGCCAGTGCCATATAGACTGAGAGTTACGTCATCTCCGTTCACTCCAATGGACCACTTTTTTACAGCAATGGCGGATCGTGGAGCCTCTCAATCGTTCCCCGGAAGTTAGCGCCAATTTAAGGCTAGCAGAGCTGTAGAGTTGCAGCATAATAGACTGTTCGTGACAGACTTTTAAAAGTAAGAAGAAGTTTAAAGATTTATATTGCGGATATTATCAGTACATCTGTTTTTAGCAGAGCCATATTGTGTCCTAGTGATTATGTTGATTATTACCTGTCTGTATAATGTTGCAGCTCAGCTGATTTTGGATTGATGGCAAAGGGAGAGGGACTTAAGTGAGAGTGACAACTACTGTTTTATATAAGTAAGCATACTAAACATGTATTCTATCACTGTATTATATAAGTAATCTTGTTAGTAACCTACTGTATGGCAGGTGGAGGGGCAGTGATGTTACAGGTGGAGGAGCAAAACTGCAAGACTGCAAACTCACAAGACAGAGAAATCAAAGTTTGTTCTCCAGAGAAGAGGTTGATTTCACTTCAATTTTTTATTTCACATTTTCTAAAGATGTGGAAATGGCAACAAAAAAAAACTTGAGAGCTGTAACCAAGACAACTGTAACAACATGAGTAGAGAGCCACCAAGGTTTTTCAAGTCCCTCTCTTACTCCATTTTGCCAACCCAAACTTCCAGGTACATGACGGGACACCTTTTTTGTTTTTGTTGTTTGCACTCCTCTGGCTGGGTGCTGGCAGGTGGAGGGCAGTGATCCCTTCCCTTCTTCCCTCAATCTTTGAGACTAATGTAAGTAGAAGACATGGCACTGTACATTTTTGAACATTGAAAATATTATACCACTTAAAAATAAGAAATATTACTTTTGTTACTAAGAGTTCATAGTTATTATACCTGTGTCACCTTTCACACTATAGCTGTGATCATGAGCTATGGGCTTTGTAGATACAGGTTCCGGGGTGAATCGTGGTGCAGGTGCCCTTCTCTTTTTGACCACAGGACGATGCACGAAGATGGTGGGTATAGCCTCTGCTCTCAGCCTAGTCTTCCCCTTTTTTGTCTTGACAAACTGGTCTGCATCAAAATGTGCCTGCGGAGCGGGCCCGGCGCCACAAGGGGGCAAAAGGGGGCATTGCCCCCTCAGTTGTATTCTTTGCCCCCTCACTTTGAGCATCATTCATCCATCGAAAAGTAAAATAAATGTCACAATTATTAAATAACTTTAAATAATTATTTCCCCCAACACACGTTACTATGTGTCAGGATTATTATTTCATGTCACGTTTCTATGTCTAGGTGTGGGTGTTTTTCCGTTCTCCTTGTCATGTTTTCCTCCCTGTATATTGTCTGGTCTCTTTTCCCTATGTTTTCATGTCTGTCGTTAGTTTCCCTGGTGTGTCTAATTTCCTGATTGTTTTCACCTGTCACTCCTTGTGTGTCTCCTGTGCTCATCAGTGTAAGCCCCGCCCCTGATTGTTCCCACCTGTGTCTAGTTACCCTGTGTTTAAATTCCCCTGTCTCCCAGTGTTCAGTGTCAGTTGTCTTGTCTCTTGCCATGGTCAGGTCTATGCTCTTTTGTGTTCAAGAATAGTTTTGTTCCTCACTACGTGAGCGATTTTCCTTTTGGTCTCATTTTTTGTCATCTCATCCTGAGATTAGTTAGTGACCTTTTTTTGTTCATCGTGTTTTATTGGAAAAATAAAGTATCTTACCAATACTTTACCTCTGTCTCCCTTTCTGCAATTGGGTCCAACATCCTAAGTGCCTGAGATCGTAACAGAACGAACTGACCAGAAATGGACCCAGCAGATGATCCTTTTGAGGTGGAGCTACAACATTTTTCCTTTTATTTGGCATGCTGCTATGATTGGTGGAAGGGAGCGTCCAGTGTTCTGCAGAGAGAGGCCGCTCTGGTAGAGGCGCACCGGTTGGCTATGGAGAAACCAGACTTGGTGAAATTCGTACCTGGCTGGATGTTGAACTTCCTCTGGATGTGTGATTTCCAGCCTGCTGACTGCAGATGTCTCGGTGTGTTCCGTCTGGGGTCAACCCATGCTTCTGCCCCAGTTCCTGCTCCTGTCCAGGAGTCGTTTTCTGGAACTCGTCTGGCTTTTGGAGGTCCACGGAGCCTTCAGGCGGCTTCTAAGAGAAGGAGTCGCAAGTCCAGGCTAGCAGCCCGAGCCCCAAGAGCCATGATTCCGGTCCCAGTTCTGGCCCCAGCGGCCATGGTTCCGTGCTCCAGTACCATCCCACATAGCCATGGTACCGTGCTCCAGTACCATCCCACACAGCCATGGATCCGTGTTCCGGTTCCTTGCCCAGCAGCCATGGTTCCGGCTCCAGTGCCGGCCCCACCAGCCATGGTCCCTGCTCCAGAACCGGACCTGACAGCCATGTTTCCGGCTCCAAAACCGGCCCACACAGCCATGATCCAGGCTCCAGAACTGGATCTTACAGCCATGTTTCCGGCTCCAGAACTGGATCTTACAGCCATGTTTCCGGCTCCAGAATCGGCCCATGCAGCCATGGTCCCTGCACCAGAGATGGCCCATACAGCCATGGTTCCGGCTCAAGTACCGGGCCCAGCAGCCATGGTTCCGGCCCCAGTTCCAGCCATGGTTCCGGCTCAAGTACCGGCCTCAAGTACCGGCCCCAGCAGTCATGGTCCCGACTCCAGCTCCTCGTCACCTGTTGACTCATCGGCCAACGCCAGCTCCCCGAGTCCTGTCGGCATACGGGCCGACTCCAGCACCTCGTCTCCTGCTGGCTCTCCAGCCGACGCCAGTACCGACCGACTCAAGTCCCCTCTCGAGTCTCCTCTCGAGTTCCCTCTCAAGTCACCTCCCGAGTTCCCTCTCAAGTCACCTCCCGAGTTCCCTCTCAAGTCACTTCCCGAGTTCCCTCTCGAGTCTCTTCTCAAGTCCCCTCTCCAGTCTCCTCTCAAGTCTCCTCTCCAGTCTCCTCTCAAGTCCCCTCTCCAGTCTCCTCTCAAGTCCCCTCTCCAGTCTCCTCTCAAGTCCCCTCTCCAGTCTCCTCTCAAGTCCCTTCTCGAGTCCCCTCTCAAGTCTCTTCTCCAGTTCCCTCTCGAGTCTCCTCTCGAGTCCCCTCTCAAGTTCCTACCCAGGTCCCCTCTCAA